TTTTGGCTTATGGTATCGATATTGTTCAACCAGTATCGATACCCCTACTCCAAAAAAACACTCATTTACCTTTGAAGTACCGATACTCATATCCCAGAATACACTCATTTAACTAGAAATTTACCAATATCAACCTAAACCTTTCATTTCTTAATCCCTTCCATACCCTTAAACTCAACTACACATACTCAAATCAATTCATATTCATATAACGCATCATTATCTTCAAAATCTCATCCTATAGCATGAACCCAAGAATCTTACTAAATTTACAACATGTTCTAATTTCATTTATAACACTTCATACTTCTTAATTTAACTAATGACAAGTCAAATTTATCTTCAAAATCTATTTACTCATTCTTTTTCAACAATTCATTGAAAAACTCATTTTACTTAATCTCTCATAATTTGTCCATCTTTTAGTTTCTAATTCTCTTTAAGCTTCCTCAAGTTTTCCTAATGCTCCAATAATAAAAACCAACCTTAAAATGAAAGAAACAATCAAGTTGATACCAACTCACCTTACCAATGAAGTCACAGGAAGAAGAAGATAAAAAAGTCTCCAGACTTTTCTTTTCATTTCCTATCATCTTCACATTTTTACATCCCAAAAAGAAAAGATAAAAAAAAATATTTCTTATTAAAAGACCATTATACCCTCTCATCTTTCAAACTTTTATAATAAATCACATATTAAAATTCTCCCATAAAGTCCCTGATCTTTTCAATTATTCCTAAATTGATCACCAAATTTCAAAAACTTTCATTTTAGTCACTAACCTAGTTTTTGGGATGTTACAATTAATTTTCAACTACTATGGTATTTTTGTCAACCTTATAACGATACTAAATTTTATTTAAAAAAAGAAGATACAACTTGAACAATGTAACTAATCAAATAGAGAATTTTAGGGGCTATGAAAAAAATCCCTCAATTATAAAAGAAAATAAAAAAGAAAACTCAAATGTGCAATAACAATCGAAGCCTTCTTTTGAATATGACATTCATTATCCATAGTAACCAATTAATCATCGATAGTACTCCTTTGTCTTTATCCAGATTTCACTATTTAGAGATGATGAAAGAGTGACTACAATCATAAATCAGATACGAGCAACTTAGGAATCTCTGCATGGTCGCATATCTACCACAGAGGTAGGCAAACAACGTGCCACAAGAGAAAAGTGAAGCGTATGCCAAGAAACCAGACGAACATGCGTAAAATATACGAAAAGTAAGAAGTCAAACAAAAAATTATTAAAAATTAAAACAAAAATTGAATAAATTAACAATTCAAAACGGGATATGAGAAAACAATGAAAAAGATGAATATTAACAATTGATGATCAATACCAAAATTAATGTCATCATTGGTATAATCAAAAGAAAAAGGAAAAAAAACTTAGAACCAATAAAGAGAAGAGAGAAAAAGAAAAAAAAAATTAACTACTATGGTATTTTTTGTTTGGCCTTAACCCCTCATATGGGGGAGTCCCTTAAAAACAGTGAAACTTTAAATTATTCCACTAATAAAGTTATGCGTTAGACACATTTTATTATTTCATTTTCCCCCTTAACAAAATCATGGATACTCCCCAGCGCCCTTAAACACTTCTTCAGAGTGAAGAGAAATAAAATATTACAAATACTCGTAGCTCAATGCAGCAACATACAAAATAATAATTATATCTCCATGTTATTAGCACAAGATTCTAACAATGGCTTATTTGATTTTTTAATAAAAATATATAACTAGAAAATTGGAGTAAGATATATGTAATTAATTTTTTTCTTATTAATAAAATCAAGCGAAATATTTATGAAAAAACAAAAATCCATATATAATTGAAAAAATTCAATAATAAATTAGATTAGATATATACGTGTGATAAGACTTAAAATTAAAATTAATAAAAAGTCAAATTTTTATTATTATTATTTTAGTGATCGAGATCAATGTCACAATAATATGCACAGCACAAATCAACATCAATGATAAAGAAGAAGAAAAAATCAGTTGAAGTCAGTTCTGAATATTCTTTGCACCAATCTGTCTTTCAACCACACTTTTACATAGAGAGAAGAATCTCAAAAGATATCATGACGTTTATCACAAAAAGGAAATGTATATATCATGATGTTTACAGAGACTAAATCTTCTTTATTTTCACCTTATCTTTTTATTTAAAATAAAACATAAAAACAACATTTCAAAATATTGCCTTAATTCAATAAAATAACATTTTTTTCTTCTAAATAAACACAGTCTTACGATAAACAATTATTCCTGTAGAAGAATCATAGGTAAGGAGCCTAATTTTGCTTTACACCTCTTTTTTATCCATTGCTATTGGATACCAGAGCTGGTCCAAGTCCATTATTATAGACTAGTCCAATTTTACTATTCTTCCCTGGCAGGTCTCTTTGCTGTAAGTGGGCTCCATATTGGGCACTCTGCTGGGCAGGGTCTTCTCTTTTGGACTCAATGTTGACCCGGTGAGTATAGGTGCCCCCTTAATTTATTCTCTTTATTCCCTCCATTTCCCAGTTTCATTAGCCCTAACCCTATTTCCCGGTGCTCATCCCCAATTACTGCCCTTCCAATTCTAATTACTCTCACTCCAGCCTTTTAGCTCCTGTCATAACACGATCGCTTTTGGGATTTGGCGAATGACGACGACAGCGGTTGTGACCAGCAATGGGTGGGCAGCTGTTCGGTGGCGGCAGCAATAACGTTAGTGACCTACTATGACTGTAATAGAGGTTTGAAATTAGATATTTTAGAGTTTTGAGGTATTTTTTTATCTTAAAAAGTATAGATTTTTTTAAAAAAATTAAAAATTTATAAAAGCAACATGTGTAACATTTCTAGTGATTGTTTATTTTTTTTAATGATCGTGACACTTAAAATGATGGTGTTTAAAATGTTTAAAAGTACTTTAAACACTTAAAATGAAAAGATTGGTGTAATTTAGATACTTGTTTTTTTATTAGACACGTGATACATTGAAAGTAAAAAAAAAAACTAAACTTAAAAATTTTCTTTTATTTTAACAATTTTAAGCGAGATAACTTTAAATATTAAATATAAATTACAATACAAATAAAATATTTATTTAAATAAATTTAAAAGGTAACCGATTAGACGACAAATATGATTGTTTTAAGCCTGATCCCCTCGGCATGAAGAATTTAAATTGAGCCTAATTATGTAGTGTGAAAGTGACATCAATTTTCTGGTGTTTATATTAAAAAAAAAGCTTAAAGTGGAGTAGGTGTGGTTCCTTTGACAATGAAATAAAACATTAATTAATTAGCCAATTAATTAATTAATCTTCTCCCATCTCTTGTTGAAGAGCGAAAGTATAAAATATTATAAAAAAAACTGCTGCTTTAAATGGATATTTAACAATCAACAAACATAAACCCATATTTTAATCAAAGTGCACGACAACAAATTAAGTTCCTTATTTTATTTTATTATTATAATAAATTAAATCAAGAAATATGGATTTGCTATGACTCAATTTCAAAGGATGATACTGAAAAGATGTGCGGTGTCCGTACTCATATTAAGATGTCGAAATGGAAATATAGATTATAAGATTATTCATTGCTATACTAACAATGGGTATTTTATTTTTTTTAAATACAAATTAAGCATAGATAATAAGTTTAAACTTTAATTGTAATATTTTTTATTTTCAACTCCTTTGTTCATTTTAAAATTGTTCATCGCCGATATGACAGTTGATGGTTTATTGACTCTATATAAGATTATATATTAATTGTGTATAAATATAATCTTAAAATTATTATTTTAAAAATAACCAATGATTGATTTAAGTAATTATTATAAATATTTTTTTGGAATTTAATTAATTCATACCATGAAATCAATATTATGCAAGAAATTGTTAAAAATTCAATTAATCATCTCACAAATATAAAGATACAAGTAACATCTTTTCAAGGTAGACAATAAAATATAAATACCTTCAATATTAACATAGTAAAAGAATATGATAATAAATTTATCACTAACTTTACCAAAACTTAAATCTAAATATATTTGGGCGGTTATTATTTTTTTATTAAATTAAAAGTGATCACAAAGTAGCATATGTTATAAGTGTTCTCAATCGTTTGATAATTTACGCACAATCACCCTTGCAGTCGCTAGTGCTCGAACGCGTGACCTCTAGGAGCAACAATGATTTCTTTAACCACTAAAGTAAAGTGGTTCGTGCAAATATATATGGGCGATTATTAAATTGAAATAATCAAATTGATGATTTAAAATAAAAAAATTCAATAAGATGATAAAATATCAATCATTGAAGATGTAAATATAAAATTTACCCTAAAATAAATTTATTAAATAAAGAAGAATAAGACTATTCAAAAAATAAAGAAAGAAAATTTAGAAAAACTCACATTTGTAATATAAACACTAGAAAGATGAAAAATATAAAGAAATAAAAATGTAAAAAAGAAGAAATGAGAAATAAGAGGACTGGCAACGATAGTGATCAAGACTTATTATTACAAATAATCTTAAAAGATGTAGTTAAGGAATTATATTTAATAAAATAATGTGTGTATAATATATAGTATGATGGTGAGCTAGTACAACCATAATCCCACTGTGATTGAAGTCCATAAACAAATATTGTTTTAGTACAATTCCTAACCTAATTATCTGACAATTGCTCCATCAAGGCAATCGACCGTATCTTAAGTAAGATTTTGTCTGGGATTAGTGCTTTTCATTGTCTTACTGAAATCTTAGGGAGAGATCACAATCCAGTTTTAATTAATTAGTCTATTAATATAATAATCTGTTGTTTTATTCTTAGCTTCTACCGGAAACTGAGAGTAACAAGAAGAAGCCATGATGATAGAATATCTAGGAAACATCAACTGATTCAGGCCCGAAGGAACTGCATACAAACGAACCTAACTTTCATATGTTTTTCATTCAGTTCAGACCTGACAGACAAACCATGAAACATCTCTCTCACTCTTTTTCTCTAACATGGTCTGCAAAATTCCCTTAATTGGTTAGCAAACAAATTTGGAAATCATTAGCTTATCAACCAATAATAGAATGAAAATGGCAGTACTAATAATGAAAAAGAACATGGGAATTACTGATGATTCTCATGAATCAAATCTCCCTCCTAAGTACACAACTACAAAAAAAAAACTACTGAAATATGCTGCTTTCGGACATTTAAAAAAAAAGACTAACGGAAAACATGTTAAAATTACATTAGAGGGCTATTAATCATTCCATGCCAAGATGAATTGAAGCCGCCGTTCCAGCTTCCTCTTCCAGAATCAAAGTCAGCCATGGAAAGTTCTTGCTTCATTGTGGTAACTGTGCTTGCAGTACTCATTTCATCGTTATTGTACGGCACCATAAGTCCGCCGTTGAACCCAATGTTTTCAACCTCTCCGGCGAAATTGTCATTTCCAAACCCATAGTAAAAATTCTGGAGGTTGTTCTGGTTTCCCATGAAACTGTTTCTGAGTGTATCAAAAATGGCGGGATTGCTAGGGTTTCCAGGATCATCAAACCCTAATGGAAAACTAGGTTGTTTTTGGAGCCTAGCAAAGGCAAGGCTTAGGTCATTTGTATCATAATTCAAAGGTGGGAGGTGGGTAGTGATGAATTGGTTGGTATTGGGTGTTACTGGTTGATCTTGGCTTCTTTTTGATGATGATGATCTTTTGTTCTTCCTGCACCCACCACCCACTGGAACGTTTCTCAATGTACCTCCTTTGGTCCAATACCTCCTGCATGACTTGCAAAAATACCTTGGCTGAGAAAGGCTGTAGTTGTTGTAATAGCAGAATTTGGTGTTGGTGGATTCACATCTTGGGCACTTGAGTGCTTGTTCCTGTTGTGGCCTTGGTTTTCTCTCTTGTTGTCCTTTTGAGTTAACCGACATGTTTTCCAATGAAGGGTTAGACATCTCCTGAAATTATAAAAAAAAATACCAAATTACTACAAGAAATCATCGATGTTCTTAATCAGGATTGTATGATAATACTTGGTAATGTTTTGATTGATTGGAAAATTGATGTCATTCATTTCATCTTTATAAACAAAAGAAGAACTTGCTAAAGATAAGACGTTTAGGAATATAAATCCAGACAACAAGAAACCAGGAAAAAAAGATCAAGTAAGAAGATAAAGCTCCCAAATTTCACAAAGCGTTAAAAACATAAGTAAAAACAGTTGTTGGTTTACATAAATGAGATTATCTAATACCTGGTGTTGTCTGGTTGAAGGATCCATTCATGCAACAACAAAGGGAGATCAAAATACCCCACAATTCCAACTGGGGAACAAGAAGAAGAAGTAGTAGTGCAGAGAAAAAGGAGTTTAAAATAAGCTTAGTATGAAAGAAGAGAGATGAGTTTTGTGTTTGGTAACAACTCCAAGCAAAGCAAAGGTAAATATATATAAAGCGAAAGCTATCCCCTCAACTACACGGCCCGGTGAGAGAGTAAAGAAGTGATCAATAACTAGTTTTTTTTTTTTAAAAAAAGAAATTCCATCCTTAGAACATCATGATGAGTTTCCCCGTTCCCGTACGAGATGACTATATGATTGCCTTGAACGTAGATAAATATATTATATATTTTTATATTAAAATTTCGTATTTCTTTTGAATATTATATATTCAGAGATCAAACGATGAAAGAAAATCCTAGCTAAGAATAAGGTAGTCCATGGACTTTGGGGCCTGTCTTTGTGGGTCCCTTTCTCGCGTGGATTCGACTATGCTGTGGGGTCCATCTGACTCAGGCCTCCCCAGTCCTCACTGTCCACTACCGTCAAGAATGTATATATTATATTCACGGTCCCTCCTTTTTCTAATGACTTCAATCGCTTCAATTTTTAAGTATACATTTTAACAATAGTATTTTTATTAATTACATCTTTATTTTTAGAAATAAAATAATTTTATTATTGTATTCAATTCTTGTTTACTTGTTTTTATTATAATTTGTTCGTTTTCAATGTCTTTATTACTTGAAAAGTGTATTTTTTTATTATGATATCAATAATTTTTGTTATTTTTAATAAATAATTTGATATTAATTATTTTTTTAGATATGAAATAACGTGATACGTATGCAAATTATTTTTTTAACAAAGCCCCTAAACCATCAGCTCCCGAAGCCTTCATCGGACTCATCATCTTAATTGCTCGATGAACATCCTCCCAAGCGAACTCCTTCAATAGAATCCTATTAATGTCGTTCGTAATACACAAACGAACACCTTCTAAGATTCTATCATCAATCTCCACCAAGCTGGACTTAAAGAGAGTTTGAAAATAAGCTCTCGCAATTTTTTCAATCTCCTCCTCACCTTCTATGTGATCCCCCGATTCCTTCATTGAGGAGGAGATGCGATTCTGACGTTTCTATTGAGACGCGGAACGATAAAAGAACATAGTGTTGTTATCCCCATTCTTGAGCCAGTTCGCTCGTGCATGTTGCTCCCAATACAATTCAAACAACTATACTTGTCTAATTATATAAAAACCTCATGAAAAGATGAGGAGAAACTCTGGCGGTACCTCTTAGAAAATATTTATATGTGTAATTTTTGTCTTTGAAAATTTGTAAAAAGATAGTCTAATTATATAAAAATACCAATGTAGTCATATCATTATACATCTCAGATACAAAATATTTCAAATAATTAAAAAAAAACTTGAATTTTAGGTAGATAATATTTTAAAAATAATAATATTATAATCGATCAAATATAGATCAGTAAATCATAAAAATTATATGATATATGTTCCATTTATATATTTTGACCTTGCATATATAATTAGATTTAAACTTGTAAATCTACAATATCTTTGTTGCTGTAGATTAAAATAAATCTAAATATCCAAATAAATGTTTGATGGATTAATGATATATAACATGTTTAAAAATACGAGGTGGTGACCACCCGACAGCAACTCTTCTCCTAAATCATATTCCATACCCTGAAAATCTCTGCTATTCAAATGCACACAAAAACATGGACACTTATAGCATAAACCTCGTGTTTTGAAAACATCATGACAAAAAGCACCACTGTTTTGAAAACTTCCAAATCCAATATCCCATCTTAATTTTATTATTTAATGCCAGAATAAGCTTTTAATTAATTTATTTTAATCAAACCAATTTTGTAATTAATTATACAAATATATTTACTTATTTTCAAATATAGATTTGATTATTCATAAGTGGCGAATATTAGGCCGACCTTAAGCGAAGTCTGTAGATATATAAACCTAGTTTCACCAGCAAAGCCAGATGTCTGCTCAGTTCCATCGATTCAGTAACCACGTTCATGAGCTAAGCTACCTCTAAAGTCAATCTTGATTAATCTCTATCAAAACAATTTTCATTTATTACTGCTTTTATTGTGGCCGATGCGTGAATTTCAGCGTACTCTAGTTTATGAGTGGATTCATTCATTATTATTATTTATATAGGTTAAAGTTCAATATTTTTAATATATGGATTGTGTAAATTTTATAATTTTATCTATTTAAATATTATTAGTGTTAGTTGCCAACGAGTGTCGGCACAAGTGGTTGAGATTCAGAAATTAAGCTTGTAAAGCTAAGTTCGAATTATACCACCGTCACTTTTAGTGGGTAATCTGTAAAGTCCTATGTAAATCCCAATTGGGTGTTAGGTATGCCCTGCGGGAGTCACTCCTGAACTAAACTTTTTTTGAACCAAAAAAATTAGTTAAGAATTATAATTTAAGATTGAAATAAATATGATTATTGAGTCTATATTATACATATACTAATTTATCTTTTAAAATATAAAAATAGATTTAATCAAATTTAGAAATCTGAATTCTCTATAATGATTGGATTTAAGCTAAAAGAAATAATTTTCAATATATATATATATATATATATATATATATATATATATATAAAGAAATAGGGGAAACAGTAGGAAGAGACTTGGAATCCACATGCAATCCATCCACTAAAAATGATGATCAATCAATCAAATGGGTAGCAATCTACATATAGCCCCATACCTTTTTTCTTTATTTCATTTTATAAATTTATTATTCTAATTATGGGCGAAGAAGTTGGTTGGATGGGCGAGAAAATCAATGTTTCCAACCAAAATTCTAACTTCTCATCATCTGTCAGACAATAACCAGACAATGATTGACGCCTCCACTTCTCCTTTACTTCGGATATGTTAATCTTATATTTTCCCATCTTTTTTATCATCCATCTCTATTTTCTGGTAATTTTTTTAACTTCAATTATTGTAAATGAACCTTTTGATGTAATATAATTAATTTTAAAAGCCCCGCATTAAATTTGTAAATGTTTGATTAAAATCTTAAAAGTTACAAGGTTCAAACGTACAATTGGATTAAGACCTTATTGATGAGAATTTAGTTGAATTTATCACATAAACTCTTGAAAAATAATATTCAAGAATATTTATGGGGTTTTTATTTTATTTTAATGGTGTTGCAAAAACAGTGAGTTATGGTGGTTAATTAGGGAGCCAAGGATAGGGGAAAGTCTCATGCGGCAGTATTAATATACGGTTAAGAAAAGGTGCTACCGGTTTTGTTATTATTTTTTTAACAAAATCGGTAAAAATTACTGGAAACATTATTATTTCTACCGATTTTGTTCTTATTGGGCATTTTACCGGGTTTGGTAAAACGCTACCTAAAACATTATTTTTTCTATCGGTTTTATTATTATTAGGCATTTTACCGAAAATGTTAAAAACATTAATATTTATGTAGAAATAATAATGTTTCCGGTAATTTTTTACTGAAAATATTAAAAAATAATAAAAACATAACATCTTTTCTTAATCGTATATTAAGGCTGCCTACGGTAGAATTTCCCCAAGGATAGAGAGATAAGTGGACACATCACATTCCAATAGGGAATGATCAGTCAAGTTAGTTGACTGGTCAATTTTATATCAGTCAAAATATCGCAATTTAATAATTATTATTATATAATGATAACAGTAATAATAATTAAAAAAGGAAAAGTGAAAGGTATAATGGAAAACTGTGCAAAAAAGAGAGATAGAGAACGGTAGCATCTTGGCCGAAGCTAAGAATCTAGCAATCAGCTTTCCCACTACAAAGAATCTCTATGGCTAACATCAAAATCATCTTCTAGTCTGAGCTCAATATACGGTGCGACAAGAATGTGTTTTATTAATGAAAAATAGTTTTATTTAATTAAAAATTTTAATATATATATTTTATCTGTACTTTTAACGGCTATTTGTCTCTTCTAATGGATTTTGTGTGTGATTTCTGTATATATTCCTTAATTCAAGGAGTTTTCCATATGTCTACTGTAATGCATAATAATTAAATTTTATCTTTCCTTTTTCAGAAATGAAATTACGAGCGAGAAGAGCAGCTGGAATGATGTAATAGTTAGGTAAGCACAGTGTGAACATGTTGAAACCAACTTCTAAACTTAAGCCACAATAAAATCAGTTTATTACTATTTGTTAAATTACCAAGTTAGTTGCTTAGTTGTATTAAAACAAAAGACGAGGAATAAGACAGGGGATAGATTGGTCGGCGGGAGGAGTCAGGAGTGGGGTCCGAAATGACAGAATCTTAAATTGTAAGAAGACCAAACACGTGGCTGGCTGGCTGGCTGAAATAAGCAATACGGAATGCCAAGCAAATAAACCTGGTTCATAGATACTACAAGGAAGGTACATATTTTTCTTTATAATTTGTAGATGAAGCCTCCACGACTTTTTTCACCATTGCCATAGGAGTTTATTCAGTACTAAGTAATAACGTTGATCTCTTTACAAATTCCATCAAGATATAAAAACATTACGTGTAACGTAATTTCGAGTAATGAACCGAATCGAATCACTACAACATAGAGCAGATCTTTAGTAGCAGCCCCTGAGGCAGGGGTTAGCAATGGAAAATGGTGATGGGCGGCTGCCAGCAGGAACCGGAACCTGGATCTGCAAACCGAACCCCACTAATATGGGTTCGAGAGCTCCGGGTGTGGTTTCTTTTTGTTTCAACCTCATGAGGTACATTTGATTCTTCTACATATTATTTTCTGATGGACTTGTCTGTCAGATTCTTGCCGCCTGTGTCTACTCTTTTATGACTAAACATATCCATACAGGTATAATTTTTCTAGCGCCCCTGGAATAAACATTTTTCTGACCTATTATGTATTTTTGTTCTACTCATTGATGATGTGGCATTTTGTGGTTCAACGACGGTGTTCGAGAATAAATAGTGTTCATTTAAGTTTTAACAATAGAATAAAAGGAAAAATGGAATAGAAATTACTGATACATTGCCTGCTTTAGTTGCTACCCAGAAAACAGATCAAGTCCCAAACTTCGAAAGAAAGACCAGAAATTCATACAAGATCCCTATGAAATGGAAGAACTTCATCTCCTTTCACACAAGACTTAATCCAAACCCATCCTTCAGTTTTACTTTGTGATTCAAAAACTCTCATTTCTTGTCCATTAGATCTTTGATCATCCTCAGTATCTCTTTTCTCAGCTCACCGACCGCCAATGGAGTAACCTGCTCCTTTAGAGCAGAAAACCACAAATCCTTATCATTTTTGCTTTCACTACTTTCATACCAGGAGCATATGATTCTTGCGGTAGCCATTACGTATAAGCCACAATCATAACCGTTAACTTGTTGAGGCGTGTCAATGCATTCTAGATACTTGTCGTTACCGGATGAACTGGAACCACTGATATAACCGACTACAGATTTATACAGCTTCATGGCATGCCTCTTATTCATCTGCTGACTGCTATCGTGATGCACAAAGACATTAGCACTTCGGTAATATACAAGTAAACTCCAGTGACTTCCACCTTCGGCTAAGCCCACATCATCGTTATTATTGACCGGAAAAAGCACAAAGTTCTTATCTGGCAATTTAAGGGGTTCCAAAAAATCTTTGAGACCATCTACATCAGGACAGTTGGTTATCCAGAAAGCAATCGATGGTGAAACGAAGAGGATGTCCTGTGAAGAGTGACTTGAAGATAGGAGACTAAAATAGAACTCTATGATTCTATCATTCAGATAATATGGACCACTGAGGATTTCCAAGTCAGATCCTCTAAGCACAATGTCATTGTAACTGAGAATCATTTCATCTGCAGCAGATTTCCCCATGCTCTAGATACTAATCCGTATTCCTGAAAACTAAACTCACATAACATACAGAAGGGGATCAAACAGCTATAATACACTAGAAAAAAATGGTTCTGCATCCATAAACCTGTAATACATTATAACAATGCATTATGCTTTAATTGCAATATACGACAATTTTTTAGTCCTCGAAGTTAGACTTTCAAGTCCTCAATTTGTCTTTGATTTTCATTTTCAGTAGAATGCATCTTCCTTCAACCTAGGATTCGTAGAACAGTTTACTGAAATTGAAAAGGACTGAAGCAAGATTTTAGGACTAACATGCACAAACTCGAGGAAATACACCGAGCAAAATCAACCCTAGCTCGAGCTGAATTTCAGTTTCGTAGAGAAAAATCCGCATAGCCAGCCTATGCTCAACCAATGCTACAACATAAGGATGATGAATTGCAATACTAGTTTGATAACCAAAATAAGCAATCCAGATATTAACATTCACAGGCAGCCCAGTTAAAAATATCAACTCTAAGAATCGCAGCAATAAACTCTTTTCCCTAATCTTTAAACTTTAAGTGAAAGGATCAAATATTCAAATCAAATCCCGCAACAAACTCAGTAAATCATTGATGCTCAAAACAGAGCAAAAAAAGCCCAAACCAAATGTCTTTCTTGGAAGATTCATCCACAAAATAAGATCTCAAAATCAACTACTGATAATCCAGATTACGAAATAATTTGGCATAATATGTTTAAAAGAAGACAAGAAAACCTTAAAAACCCCAAAGATAACTAATCATAGCAAAAAAGATAGTGGAAACTTAAAATCAACATAATCGGACTTACTTAAAACTAAAGAAGACGCCTTACCATGAAACGGAAATATTTTTCCTTCTTAGATTGATTGTCACCGACGGAACAGAACTCCGTTGTTTCAAGTGCTTCCAAGGATTTTTCTCCCCCCTCGAAATTTATAAGAAAAAATGGAAAAACTACAGAGGTAGAACGACAACCCGATACTGAAAATTAAAGAGCATGTATTTCTATTGGGCTTTACTAACCCATTTTACTGTTTTATTTCAAATTCAAATATCCCAATACACGAGTGAGGACAATTTCCTTTTTTCCTTTTGAATTATTATCCCCTGTAATTTATCATATTAAGCAGGAAATTTTGATTTTTCTCCCCCAAATAATCCACCCTATCCTATTGATTATTTTCAGGCTAAGGTATTTGTTACAGTAAATTTAGAGACATAACATTCTATGCGGCTTGGAGAAGACTACAACATTGTTGCACGTCTTTTTCATTACCGATTATTTTATTGTTATATAAAACTTAAGATGCATGATAATTTACGCGCCTTCCACCAGAGAAATGAAATCGCATGATGTTTACAATGTCTTCCCATTGACATTGTAGCAAATCATAATTCAAGAAATAATATAGTGAATGTCTTATATGAAAAATTTCTTTTTTTCTCACTACTCTATTTGGGCGACCTATTAGGCATTCTCTTATTGATATAGGCATAATAAAATACCCCACATAAAAGAGTATCAAGAAAAGTAATCGTGGAGTCGGATAAAGTTAACTGATCAAAATAATTGTCTTTATTCTTTTAAAAAAAAATTAACTTCATACTCGTCTCATGTAGGATGAGTCTAAGATCAACAATCCAAATTCAATTGAATAACACTGTCATCTTATGAATCAAGAAATAAAAATTATTAAAAATATATTTTTAAATAATTGAAAGACGTCCGAACTATCCATACGAAATTAGATCTTCTCAAAATCGTTTAACCATACAAATTTTAAATCTTCTAACGACAATAACAAGACCGATCCTAGATGACAATTTTTTTTTGAGCTGTTGGAAAACGTATTTAACAACATTTAATATATTTTCGTCTAAACTTCCACATAGCTTATTATATACAAGTTTGTTTCGCGTTTTTTTTTCGTTTTTATTATTTCAAATAATATTTTTTTAAATATGTTTGACATAAAATTTAATTTTTTTTAAAAAAAGTATGAAAATGTCCGAAAATTAAAAATATATAATATTATTTCTATTGTTTTTCACTGAAAGGACTTCGTAATACTAAAAAAATAAAAGAAATGTTAATTTATTTAATACTTTTTAAATATCAAATTCTTTAGCTTCTGAATTTAAATTTGATTCAAATCTACGTGTAAATTTCTCATTCACCAACGATTGTCCTAATTTACTCTCTACCATTATTTTTACTGACGTCATTTTCGATTAAGGTAATATAAATTATTTAATTTAAAAAAGAAACTAGAGTTCGAAAAACATTAAATCTGCCTCAACAACAGAATTCTGCAATTTTTAGTCTGCCTCAGTTGCAGCATTACTCTCAGCAATGTCTACATTCTCAAGCTCCGGACACGAAATATTGCCAAATGAATATCCCCTACACCTAAAAAGGAACCATTTTATAGACAGATGTCAAGAAAAGAGAGAGGGTAAAACTACCTATTTGGTGACTAATCTATTTCTTAGTTTCTGTTTTGGTCAATTAACTATTATCTTTTAAAATCATATTTAACATTACGTTTTGATTCCACTCACCGTTAAAAAATTAATGATGATATTAATGTGTAACCATAAGAAAATATCACATCAGTATTGATTAATGAGAAAATATCATATCAGCATCACCGTATGTTTTTTGTCGGCATATGATCAAAACAAAATAAAAAATTAATATTAGTATGATTTTGAAAAAAGATAATAGTTTGGTAATCAAGATAAAAAATAAATAATAGGTGAGTGGCCAAATAGATAGTTTACCCAAATAAAACACGTTGGGTCATAGTGAACTCCAGTTCTATATTGTTTGGGGTTGCCCAAAGCAATCGATTTCCTTATTTTCATATTGGTTTCGAAGAAATTGATTCAACACAAGAATTAGATAGGAGTATATATGTACTACAAATATGCATTTTTTTTTGAATGAAGTTGAGGTCGGTGTATTTACCGAATATAAGAAAACTTCCGGGTCTTAGCCTCTGGTCATTTATGAAGGTCCCATTGGTACTATTCAAGTATGTCACCAGAAGATTCCCCCCTCTCCTCTGAATACGAGCATGAACTCCCAATACTGAAAAACTCAGAGATATACACATCATTCCTAATTGAATCTGTTTTCTTCTTATAACAGTGGAAGAAAGAATGAACAATGAATGTACTGTATTATTATTCACGCAAAGAATTCAAGTAAACTCAGTTTGTATATGTATGTAAGCCCAACTAACAAAGCTACTAGAAAGAACTAAAACTGAATAACTAACTGAAGTAGTTACTCTAACACCCCCTCAAGATGGGACTGCATGAATATTAAGAAGTCCCAGCTTGGCTACAAACAAACGATACATGGGAGGTCGTAATGTCTTTGTGAAAACATCAGCTAATTGATTTGAAGAACGAACATGAAGCAGCTTCAGGAACCCATCTTTAACTTTGTCTCGCACAAAATGACAATCAATTTCGATGTGTTCCGTGCGTTCATGAAACACTTGATTGGTAGCAAGATGAACAACAGCCTGGTTATTGCAAAACAACTTCACATGAGGTATGGGAATATTAAAAGAAGAAAGCAATGAGGCTAACCAAACCAATTCATATGTAACAACAGTCATCGCACGATATTCTGTTTTACAAGACGAGCGACTAACAGTGGCCTACTTCTTGGATTTCCATGAAAGAAGAGCGTTTCCTAAATAAGTACAATACCTCAAAGTGGAATGCCTTGTATCTGGACACGAGCCATAATCCGAATCAACAAAGCACTCGGTTGTAAAGTGGAATTTGCAGGGAAGAAAGGCCAAGACCAGAAGATTGTTTGATGTACACCAAAAGATGTCTCAAAGCCAACATGTGAGGCACACAAGCAGCAGAAACAAACTGGCTTAGCAAGTGAACCGTGTACACAATGTCTGGTCTCGTATTTGTGAGATATAATAGTCTTCCTACCAGCCTCCTATACTCTTGAGAATCAGACAATGGTTCGCCATCGCTAGGATTAAGTTTTAAGGAATGCATCATGGGAGCTTCAACAGGCTTCATGCCTAGACAACCCGTGTCATCTAAGAGCTGTAAGGCATACTTCCTTTGGGACAAAGAAATACCATCTTTGTTACGAGCAACTTCAAACCCCAAGAAATAACGCAAAGGACCCAACACCTTGAGCTTGAAATACTGCTGCAGAAAAGCTTAAACCTCAGATAACTGATCCAAGTTTTTTCCAACTAAGACAATGTCATCAACGTAAACCAAGAGAGCAATAAAGTCATCACCCGAACCTTTTGTAAACAAGGAATGCTCGAATGGAGACTGCTGAAAACCAAACTTCAAAACCACACCAGAAAAGGCGGTAAACCATTGCATGGAAGCTTGGTTGAGCCCATATATAGATTTGTGTAATTTGCACACCATGCTCAAACCCTTCAGCCGAGTGTTATAACCGAGAGGTAACTTCATGTAAATCCCTCCATCTAACTCCTTTTAAAACGAGCTGAAGAAGATGCCAATCTTGAGCTACTACTAAGGTAAGTAAGAGTCGAAAAGATGCCATCTTGGCAACAGGCGAGAAGATGTCCATGTAATCAATACCTTTAATCTGCGTAAAACCTTTAGCCACTAGTCTGTCCTTGTAACAATCAACTGTTCCATCATCATTGTGTTTGATACGATAGATCCATTTGCAATCAATTAGTTGCTTCCCTTCAGGCAAAGGAACTACCGACCAGGTTTGCAAAGATTCCATGGCTTGAAGCTCTTCATGCATCGCTTCTCTCCAAGCAGGAGATTTGACTGCCTGATGGTAAAATGACGGTTCATGAGAGGAAGAAACATTGGCTCTAAAACCAGTGTATTCAGAAGACAACTTTTCCGATGATAAGCGATCTTCAAAAGGATAAGAACATGAAGGAGAAGCAACATAGCAATAATACTGTTGGAGATATGACGGCTTTTGAATCACCCAAGAAGATCGTCGAGATGGGACTTGAACCACATGATCTGTGCATGAAATTACCTCAAGAATAGCAGATTCAGCACAAGCCTGCTCCTCGACAGAACCAGGAATCATTTCAGGTACTGTCCCAGCATATTGTTGAGGAACAACGGTAGGTGTAGAAACTCCAGGCTGCTTAGAATTATGGGAGCATGCAACAGGTTCCTCCACTGAGGCATGACTTTGCTGAAAAGAAGTATCCACCAAATCATTAATAACACGTGGCAAGGAATTTAAAAAAAAAAGATCAATGGAATGATCCAAATCAATTATACTATGAAAAGGAAAAATGTGTTCATGGAACACAATATCACGATAAAGGTTAACTAAGTGGTTTCTAGCCAAGTTCCCTCAGTTTCTTTTCTAAGAGGATGTGCTGATTGGAGACCCCTCCCTTGCATATAGTTATTCTGTTCCTAAATCTAAGGGCTGTCCTGTTCTTTGCTGGCTTCCCCTCCGGTTTACTTTTTTAAGATGAACGTTGATGGAGCTGTAAGGTTTGATGGTTCGGTTGGAGGTATAGGTGACATTTTAAGATATTGAATTATTGCACTCTTCTGACTTTTTCAGAAAGTATTGGTCAAGGTCCCCCTTCAGTTGCTGAATTGAAAGCTATTAAAAGAGGCATTGAAATCTTTCTTTCTTCATTTGGGTTTCTGTTGGTAGGTTGATTGTAGAGAGTGACTGTAAGTCGGCAGTGGAGTGGATTCTGTCTCCGTCTTCGGCTCCTATTTTCTTTTCTCCTCTAGTAAAGGAGATTTTGTCACTTATTTATGAAAAGATGTCTTTAGTTAGGTTGATTCCAAGGGTTTGTAATTGTGAGGCAAATAGTTTAGCAAAGGAGGGGTTTGATTGATTGTATGGTTTCAGCTTTTTGTTTGTTTTTTTTTTATTTTGTAGTTTTTGTTCTAGGTGTAATTGTTAAGTCTTATGTACTTCTGTTCTATTAATAAATTGAGGTACTCTTTTCCTCCTTCCGCCAGTTGATTCTTTCTTTCGGGAAAGGGGCCACTATGAGGGAAGTTTTTAATGGGGCCTCCTACTTCTATAAAAAAAAAGATAAATCACAATCTTCCGAGTCTGCAAGATGTACACTTTGTAACCCTTTACACCCGATGGATAGCCAAGAAACACTACTGGTAAAGCACGAGCAGAAAATTTATCCCTATGTGACTTCAAGGTGGAAACAAAACAAAGGCACCCAAATTTCTTCAAATGACCATAATCAGGAAGGTGCCATGCAAAATCTCATAAGGAGACTTATTATCCAACTTAGGTGAAAGCAACCTGTTAATTAGATAAGTGGCAGTGAGAAGACAATCGCCCAAAAAACGGATAGGAACTATAGACCGAAAAAACAAAGCCCGAGCAACATAAAATAAGTGTTGATGCTTCCTTTCAACTGCTGAATTTTGCTGTGGTGTATCAACGCAAGAAAACTGATGTAAAATACCCAAGCTAGCAAACAAATCTGTAAATTTTAGTTCAGGTGCATTGTCAGACCGAAAACACTTAATGTCAACCCCAAACTGTCTCTTAACCATGGCAATGAACGCTGGAATAATGGAACCAACATCAGACTTATGTTGAAGCAAGTAGGTCCAAGCCGACTTTGAAAAATCATCAACCAGTGTTAAAAAAAAGTTTGGTTCGAGTACGTTGCATGTTTATAAGAGCCCCATATATCACAGTGAATCAAATCGAAGGGTTGCTTTGTCTTTGTAAAAGAATTAGGAAAAGGAAGTCGTTGTTTCTTGGCCAAAGGACAAATCTGACAAATAATCTTCTCATTAACATGTGTCAAATCCAATACATATTTAAGAAGTTGAATTACATGAGAACTAGGATGTCCTAGTTTATTATGCCAATAATAAAAACTGTTGCTAATAACGCTATTACATGAAATTTCAGCGACAAAAAGAGACAGTTTCAAAAGATAAAGTCCTTGAAGCAGCTCACATTTCCTAAGCACTCGATGCAAGTCCTGAATCAAACATTTCGTTTTGCAAAAGAGCACACTAAGATCAGAATCACGAGTCAGGGCACTAACAGACAATAGATTGAGACGAAACTCCGAAACAAATAAGACATCATGTAGCACAAAATCAGTAGACAATCAAACAATCCCAACACAACTGACTGCAATAACTGATTTATCTGGCAGAACCACCGAATCATTTAAGATAGGAGTTAAAGGCTTAAAAAGTGACCTTGAAAAACAAACGTGCTTAGAAGCACCAAAATCCAAGATCCAATAAATGGATTTCTCAAAAGATAAATTATTGATATGAGATAAGATCTCAGTCTCACCCTGCATGGCTGAATTAATCGAAGAGGAAGGAATATCACAAGAAGATGCAGCCTGAAGTTGAGTAGTGAGCATGACAATCAACTGTTGGCATTGTTGAGAAGTCAAAGCATCGGAGGGCGAAGAAAAAATTTGTTGAGAACCTTCACTAGGTGGAGCAACTACTGAATTGGTGTGAACCGAATGAACATTCTTAGGACCTGAAGAGCTAGAGGATCGAGAATAACCACGAGGATAACCATGCAGCTTATAACACTTATCTTTTATATGACAAAGCATGTTGCAATAGCTGCACTGTGGACAATTCTTGCGAGGGCCATGACTGGCTTTGAAAGCAAAAGAAGCTTCAACAACAGGATTAATATTCTTGACCGATCTTTGGTTCTCTTCTTGAACAATTAACGAGAAAACCTTCGAGATTGAAAGCAACGAATCCATCAAAAGAATCTGCCCATGAACATGACTATAAGAGTCATTCAATCCCATCAAGAACTGGAGAACTTGTTCTTGTTGTTGTTCATCAGGCATCCGACAGACCCCTCCACAAGAACAAGATAAGCAGGTGCAAATTTGCTTAATAAAAAAGAGCTCATCCCATACTATTTTCAACTGAGTATAGTAAACATCACCGATTGTTGACCTTGAACCAAATCATTCAGCCATTTTTTTAATTGAAACAATCTTGGACAATTAGATTGTTGAAATCTCTCAACAAGATCCCTCCAAAAGTCTACTGCAGTGGTATGATAAAGCAGACTTGCAGCAATGTCCTTGGAGACTGAGTTTAATATCCAATAATTCACTAGGTTGTTACCTCTGGTCCAAGCGTGAAACAATTCTAGAGATGATGGATCAGGAGCAGTGATTGAACCATCCACAAAACCTAGCTTATTCTTGGCAAAAAGTGCAAGCATCATGGATCGTTTCCAGCTGTGGAAATTATCGATTGACAATGACTATGTAACCAGAACCATTCCCGGATTATCTGATTGATGAAAATAATACGGATCGCTTCCATTATAAAAAATATCGCTCAAAGAGGAAGTCATGGCGAAACGTGATGAGAAAAGGAAACTTCTGATATCATATAAACCCAAAGAATACAAGTAAACCCAGCTTATATAAGTCTATAAACCCAACTAACAAAGCTACTAGAAAGAACTAAAACTGAATAACTAACTAACTGAAGTAGTTACTCTAACACTTCTTCTTCTTCGAAGCTAATAATACAAATTACCTGTTGCAACTGGAATCACCACATCTACCTTATCAGGGAGACGCCCAACAGTTACTTCACTCTACAAAATGAACCAAAAAAAAAACATTCTACCGATGATGCCATTTTCAATTCAAAGATACAACAATGACAATGGCAGCAGTGTTATTTTACTTTATTACTTACAGAAGCAATTTCAAACGCATCTGGCATCTGAACCCTGAACCCAATGTGTCTCGAATCTCTATCACCTGATGCATCAAAATGTATGCGATTTCTTAAACAAACAGAAACCAAAACCAAGCTACTTAACCTATAATAGCTTGAAAATCCTCACCTACAGGTTCAAGAAGCCTTTTGTCACTGATATCTGTCGCGGTATTGCTTTCGCTTTCAGAAGCATAAATAACCCCAAGATTCCTTTGTTTCCTTTGAGCTAATCACTATAGTTCTTGGAGGACTGGAAAGGGAGGAGTGAATTTGATGTAGAAAGACTGCGTTTTGAATGAAGGAAGGTGGGCAGCTGGGGAGCTTTGCACGATACAAAGATTGTGCAATCATCTCCATCTCTGCAAGAGGATTGCTATGGAATTATCCAATTCTGATTCTATTCCAAGTTCCAGTTGTTCTTTTGGATTGTGGGGATAGCAGTAAAAGGCTGTTTTCGTTAAACATGTGAAATAATTATGTGGCATCCATTTAATGCCTTGACAGTGAGATATGGATAGCAATGTTATATTTGCAGTGGATTCTTGTCCTTATAGGATGAAGTTTTCGGGTAAATTATCTTACCGTCATTAAATTATTAGTTTGATATTATTTTGACTATTGAATTAAATATGTTTTAAGGCACTAAAGTTTTAAACTAATTTCAATCAAGTCATCGGTCTTAACCGTTAATGTAATTTCTAACATGCCAGTTAAGTAAATTTATATAAAATACATTTGGCCTTCACTATCTATACATTCTAACAGTTTAATTGATAATAACATATTTGGTTCTCATTATTTATAAATTATATCAATTTAATTCTTATTTGAATTAAAAACAATTTAATTAATTTAATTAATTATTCAATGAGATGATCACACATAACACCATCATATTAAAAAAAAATTAAGAGAAATAAGATATGACAAGAGAAATCAAACATGGGTCTTAAATGGTATAAATAAGCTTCTAACTACTAAGTCAATATCAACATTTAATCATTGATTGTTGTAGATATCCGTTTTTGTCCGGATCTACAAAAATATTTTATTATACTATATATATATATATTATTATTATTATTATTATTATTTTATTATTGTAGGCCCCACACTCAACAACCCCGATTTAGTGAGATTCAGAAAACAAACAACCGTATTTGATTTATATTGAAACACTAAAACCGAAGTATTTTGAGTTCAAGTAGGACTCTAAATCTGAGCTAAAAATAAGTTTCTTTAGACTATAAATAGACTCAAGCATCAAGAGGAAAGCACACAGAGAAAAAAAGGTGGAACCAAAATCAGAAGAAGGGGCAACGATTTGGAAAAATCGAGGGAGGGAAAGCCGAAACATTTATCGACCATTTCGTGTAAAATGGAGGCTGGATTCGTGTTTCCAACATCGAGACAAAACACCCGTGAAACATAGAATCGAACGAAGACCAGAGCCCAGCGACAAACGACACTCGACCACTGCAATTCTATAGCCTCTCCCTCTTTTGAATTTGAGATAGACGAGGCATGATTTTAAAAACAAAATCTTTGATTTTTTAATGGTGCACGTGTTTTTATGATTCAAAAGAAAGATTTCATGCCTCAATCATCCAAGTTTGTTTTTATTTCAATTTGGTCTGTTCATATTTCAATTTCTCTGTTTTGTTCTTATTTTTATTTATTTATTTAGTATATATGTATGTTATGTTCATTATTATTTCCTTTTTGTCCCTTTATTTTATTTTACTCTTTTTATATATTTCTTTTATTATATTTTCTGGTATTATTTTTCTAGGTTATTTATTATTTTGTTTTATTTATTTTATTTTTATTATTTTTATTTTTATTATTTTTTTCTTTAATTTATTGTTATTATCATTTTTTTCATTCTTATGTTTTTTCCAACATTTTTAACCTTGGTATAGAAATTCCAATCGATCAAAGGTAAGTAATTCGAATCGGTTATTTTAAATTTTAAATTTTAATTTTCGCAATTAAAGACAACCGACAAATTAATTGGTACCGAAAGGGCAGTTCAAGGGTGCTAATCATTCCTTGACCGTAACCGACTCCCGAACCCGACATATCTCTGGTAAAACGCATATCAGGTAAAATGGTGTCCAATCCACCTAAATGCTCGTAAAAGTGATCGGTGGCGACTCTAACTCAATTCATTCAAGTCGAAGCACAATTCTGGGCCTAACCCGAAAGACGGCCGTGACAGCTTGGCGACTCTGCTGGGGAAAGGTAAGTGAGTTAGGCTAAGGTAATTTCCAGTTGTTTTTTTAACGAAAATGGTAAATTTAAATTTTAAGGTAACATTTCGATTCTTATTGCTTACTTTTAATTATATTTTTGAGTAAATAGTTGCACTAACCGTTTTCTAATAATTTAATGCTCATAAACTTGTTTTTTTTCATCTAAGGCTCTATACCCGAGCTCCGAACCCGTTTTAAGTGGGGGTGAAAGTGACGCATTCGTGTGACTTTATTCACTGTATGGGCCTAGCAAGTAACCTTCGAGATTCATATACCTTATGTCTTCGTGTGAATTTATTCTCCGTATGGGCATAAGGGAATGTTTCCTCCCGAGTTTAACTTAGTCCACACAAGCTTGTAATGAGCTTAGGACTAAGGGACTGACAAGCCCAAGGGGGGACCAACAAGGAGAACTCGGGTACCTCTTTTGAACCTAAACGTGAGAGTACAGGGAATTAGAGCCCACCCCAAAACTCATTCCAAACCCTAGGCTGCTTGAATTATTTCCTGGTTTACCTTCTGTTCAAAGCATGCGAACTAGACAAATATGCGGTTAGAATTTGTTTGAAATTAGCATGCAGGATAGAGATCTTGTTCGGGTAGGAATAATAAGCATGTGAAGTAGATATCATGTGTGCTAGGACTTTTATTTTCATTACTGTTTTGATTATTATCCTTACCTCACTAACTCTTTTTATTTTTTTTTATTTTTATTTTCATCATTTGTATCATTTAAAAGAGGTGTTGATCCACCAAAAACATGTTCGTTAAACATGAATAATCTATATTAATAGACAAAGGGGTTATAATACAAAGAGATGAAAAGCTTAGAAATCCAGCCGTGGTCAAAGAATACTCCGAGGCAAAGGTTGCCGAAGCAAGACGAGAAAAGGTTATTGACTTGGAGAGCTCCTTCAAAGACAACAGACCATTGTTAACGAATTTAACAAACAAGCAGATAAACTTCGGATAGTTCTTATCGATTGAGGGCTCTAATGACGCCTTCGTTAGGAACAAGCTTAGCAAAGAGTGAAAGCCAAAGATACAGTCATTCGAGATTTTTTTGACAAGCAAGCTCGTCACTTAAACAGTTTAGCCAGAGAAGCCGGAACAGTTCGACGGGGCATTCAACTAGTGACAAAAAAAGACTGAAGAAGAATCAACTTGTCAGAGGCTATTCGAGATCTATACCATCAAAATGTTTTTTGTCTCTTCAAATGTAACACTTTTGTCCCCAATGAGGATTATTTATAATAAAAGATACATTTTCGGATCAATGCCTTGAACATTTCATGCATTTTTGCATTTACATTTCTTTTTTAAGCATTTTCATAAACATGAAATTAAGTCATGGAGGATTCGATGAAGTGGTCCTAATCACGTGACACCACATGGAAGCGAGATTTTAACAATTAAAAAAACTGAAATCAATGCAGTGGGAGCCTGATAAGCTGATTATAGGACAAAGCCTACCATGATGATCTGAGAACAAAATCCCTATATCCTAAGGCCTACGATGTTGAAGCTGTGTGCAGTTACTACATAGAAAGCTTCAGAAACTCCTCAAAGAACTATAAGGCACCGAAGCGCAAGATCCAAAATCTGATGGATTCAGGGGCATAGACAGCCGAAGAAGGGGGCATTGCATATACCATTTGCACTTAGAGCATTATTTTGTTTGAACACGTCTTTGATCTTTCATGTTTGCTTAATCTTTTAAACGATTGAATTTGTGCTACCTTCTAAGGTGGAATAATTGAACAAATTTTAATCTTTAGTTCTTCAAAAATATTAAATGAATTAAGGATTTTTTTTAATTCTTCAAGAATTATAGATTTTTGACATATGGCAAGATTAAACCATTCTTATTATGTCTCAAATCCCAAAATAAAATACATTGATTCTTTACCTAAAATAATTCATGATCATTGCCACAATACCAAATTTTGACATTACCACCCTTTGAAACTTTTAAACCTTTCTTTGAGTCAATAAAGTCACAGCACTGTCTTTTTAGACTCAAAATTGACTTTTTTATACCACTAAGACCTAAGGCATTGAGTTGTTCATTTGAACATGAGACTTCTTCTAACTCAGGGCATTTCGTAGGGAGCCTGAACATTAAGACATGTCGAGACCAAGAAGAAGAAAGAAGAATTCATTCGAAATAATTCTATCATGCATTAATTACACTGTTTTCATATAAATGAATTTAATCCTGAAAATCTATCCCCCTAAGGATACTTCTTCTGTGAAAACTTCCATGTATGAAATGATGAACGACTTTATTTCTTTATCCCTTCTCAACAGGAGAAAATATATATCCCTTGTGTCCCCTTTTGAGCCTATAGTATTTTTTTTCTGATTCAACCCTAACCAAGGATCACCCTCCACACTGAGGGCAAGGTGGAAGATATCAATCCAAAGGAGATACCAACTGCCAAGTGCGAAAATCCAATCAGAACAAAAAAAAAGAGAAAAAACAAAGGAAAAAGCAAAGAACAAATAAAAAAAGAGAAACAAGAACAAGGAAAAAAGTGAAAAAAGAATACAAGACGCATATGCAAAGATTCACTCGATTCAAATGATGTGTCGAGATTCAAATTATGAGATTGATCAAGCACAATCATTCCAGAATCACTTCACTCGAAGATCATGGAACATCTAGAGAAAATCAAGAGAAACACATACGAGTAGATTCAAATTGAGCAAGACATGATTGAAGGCATTATAATGAATTGATCTTTGGTTTAATACGCTGAAACACTTGTTTGGGTCTATTTATCATTTTCTTTCATAACCATGAACCATGGCCTACATTACGTGCCTTAAAAGTCCCTTATAATCATACATGGATTTCTAAACAGAATAGACTATCTTCATATTTCATCCCGCCTGTCAGGATTAATCTTTATTTGCAATTTTTTTTAAAATCTTTAATGCATGATAGAGAAAAATAATAAAGGGGGTTCAAGACGAAAATTCTGAAACCAAAGGAGGATTCGAGTTGAAAACCTAAAAATACGGCTCTAATATAAAAATTATGCAGCTGAGGCGATCACACAAATTCCTTGATAAGGCATCGCATAATCCGAGTATGACCACAAAGGTTGGGAGTCGAAGAACACTTCCAGTAGAGGAGCATGCAAGCTACCCCATCAAACCTTTGAGCATCAAATAAATAAAAAAGCCAAACACAATAACCTGAGACTTTTATCATTTCCTTACTTAACCATTTCCCAAAGATAAATTTGATCTTGACACTTGTCAAATAACTATAATTTATTGAAGGATTAACCATGTAATTAATTCTTTGATATCCAATGAACTCTAGTTTTATGATTCGTCTCAATTATAAAACCAAGAAAGGGGCAATATTTTTAAAACTTTTGATCAAACATTTTTCAAAACTCTTCTAATTGATATTTTCAGATCTCAAAAAAGAAGAAGAAGAAAAACAGTTTTCAAACAAGATAATCTCTCTAGAGTGGATCTTGGTAAATGACATGTGGCTCTCAGACACAAAACTCATGCTTAGAATAAATGTTGAAACAAGAAATGAGGAATAATGGGGGCATCTTTGAAGATTCAACATCAAATGTTGAGGCATTTTCGGAGATCCAACATCGAATATTGGGGCATCTTTGGAGATTCAACATCCATATGTGAAATGACCAGATCTTCTGAAGGTATTCCTCCACATGCAAGACCAGCATACAAAAATGAGGCTCCACAGAATTAGTTCATGTTGATGCATCTTAGACATACTTAAGAGCATCACATTTATCATACATAATTTTTTGAAGCTTTTAGAGTCAAGTTTCAACCTCAAGATGAAAGATACTCGATTCAAAAGCACATTCAGTACTTGATGGTGGTTGCTCAACTTCACAGCGAATGGGCGACTATCAACAAACAACTTTCCAGTTTCATTCACAGTCAATTTCAACTTTACAGTGAAGGATATTCGACTCAACAAACAAGTTTTCAGTTTCATTCAGAGTCAATTTCAACTTCATAACGAAGGATATTGGACTTGAAAGAACACAAGATTGGATTTCAACTTCAAAATGAATGATATCCAATTCAAAGCTCAACTTCACAACGAAGGGGCAACCATTTGTTGACAAATCCAAGCTTCGTTCAGAGTCATTTTCAACTTCACAGTAAAAGATATTTAGAAGTATGGATTTTAACTTCACAATGAAGGACATCCAATTAAAATCTCAATTTCACAGCGAAGGAGCCATCCATAATTTCAACTTCACGAAGAATGATATCGTGCCCGATAAAGTGATTTATCGTCACAACAAACATGTCATCCACATATTTGACTTTCTTAAGTCAACGATTGGAGATTCTGAAAAGATTTCTTTAACATGCAGGAACAAGCATATTATCAATCGCATTTGAGATTGTTTCTCTCGAAACAAGGGGTCATCTCGCTTGAGACTAATTTACTCAAAACAAAGTTTTGTCTCTTTAGATAGTTTCCCTTGAAACAAATTTTGTCTCTCTTGAGGCAGTTTCCCTTGAAACAAAATCTTTGAATATGTTTTCCTTGAAACAAATTTCATCTCCCTTGAGACAGTTTCTTTTGGAACTAAGTTTTGTCTCTCTTGAGATAGTTTCTCTTTAAATAAATTTTGTCTCTCTTGAGATAGTTTCCCTTGAAACAAAGTTTTGTCTCTCTTGAAACACCAACCTTTGAATATGTTTCTCTTGAAACACAAAAAACCTTAGAAATCGTTTCTCTTGAAACACAAAAAAAACTTTGAAAATGTTTCTCTTGAAACACAAAAGACCTTCGAGTTCGACTACGCTCAGCTCTAAGGCACATCATTTGCAGCATAACTCAAGGCTAGAAGGGTTATCTGTCAACGAAGACCTTCGAGTTCGATTACGCTCAGCTCCAAGGCACATTATTTGCAACATAGCTCAAGGCAAGAAGGGCTATTTGCCAACAAAAAACCTTCGAGTTCGACTACGCTCAGCTCGAAGGCGCATCATTTACAGCATAACTCAAGGCTAGAAGGGTTATCTATCAGCAAATACCTTTGAGTTCGACTCTACTCAGCTCAAAGGCACAATCATTTGCAGCATATCTCAAGGCAAGAAGGGCTATCTTCCAAAGACCCTCAAGTTCGATTCCATTCAGCTCGAAGGCGTATCAACTGCGTTGCATCAGCAAGGAACTACTTTCTGGTTAAATTTTTACACCCAGGTCTTTAAATCGAGAAGAATACCAAGGTCGACCAAGATTGGCAACAAAGAGTCACTTTCCGATTCACCCACGATTTCAACTTCAAGAAGAAGGATATCGTGCCCAATGGATCGACTTAGTGTCACAACAAACACTATCGAGTCTCAAATCAAAGAGAACAAACAAAAACTGGTTGTCTTTTTCATATTTGCCCTATTCTTGTTAACATAAAAATGTGCAAAGAGGGGCAGCTGTAGACACCTGTTTTTGTCCGGGTCTACAAAAACATTTTATTATACTATATATATATTTATTATTATTATTATTAATATTTTATTATTTTATTATTTTTGTAGGCCCTACACTCAACAACCCTGATTTAATGAAATTCAGAAAACAAACCAACATATTTGAGTCCTATTGAAACACTAAAACCAGAGCATTTTGAGTCCAAGTAAGACTCTAAATCTGAGCTAAAAATAGGTTTCTTTAGACTATAAATAGACTCAAGCATCAAGAGGAAAGCACATAGAGAGAAAAAGGTGGAACCAAAATCAGAAGAAGGGGCAACGATTTGGAAAAATCGAGGAAGGGAAAGCCGAAACATTTATTGGCCATTTCGTGTAAAATGGAGGTTGGATTCGTGTTTCCAACATCGAGACAAAACACCCCGTGAAACATATAATCGAACGAAGACCAGAGCCCAGCGGCAGACAACATTCGACCACTGCAATTCTAGAGCCTCTCCCTCTTTTGAATTTAAGATAGACGAGGCATGGTTTTAAAAACCAAAACTTTGGTTTTTTAATGTTGCACGTGTTTTTATGATTCAAAAGGGAGATTTCATGCCTGAATCATCCAAGTTTGTTTTTATTTCAATTTGGTCCGTTCATATTTCAATTTCTCTGTTTTGTTCTTATTTTTATTTATTTATTTTGTATATATGTATGTTATTTTCATTATTATTTCCTTTTTGCACCTTTATTTTATTTTACTTTTTTTATATATTTATTTTATTATATTTTTAGTATTATTTTTCTGGGTTATTTATTATTTTGTTTTATTTATTTTATTTTATTTTTACTTTTACTTTTACTTTTACTTTTATTATTTTTTATTGATTTATTGTTATTATCATTTTTTTCATTCTTATGTTTTTTCCAACATTTTTGACCTCGGTATAGAAATTCCAATCGATCAAAGGTAAGTAATTCGAATAGGATATTTTAAATTTTAATTTTAATTTTTAATTTTCGCAATTAAAGACAACCGACAATTTAATTGGTACTGAAAGGGTGGTTCAAGGGTGATAATCCTTCATTGACCGTAACCGACTCCCGAACCTAACATATCTCTGGTAAAACACAGATCAGGTAAAATGGTATCCGATCCGCCTAAATGCTCGTAAAAGTGATCGGTGACGACTCTAACTCAATTCATTCAAGTCAAAGCCCAATTCCGAGCCCAACCCGAAAGACGGCCGCGACAATTGTAAAATATTTATATACATTTTAAATTATATATTATCGACAGATGAAAATGGAGAAAATAAAGACGAGAGAAAGAGTCAAAACTAGGACATGAAGGAGTATGGACGTGGCTAATCATTAACTAAACTCAAATTCTAATTTATATGTTAACTTCTCTAGCATCGTGGAGTCATAATTTGTGAGCAATTGAGGGTGGTGATTCTTCAACAAATGTAGCACTTGGAATTTTTACCGAGTTTGAGATTTGAGTTAGCCAAACTTGGGTTTCGGGTTTATTTGATATTATTAAGAATTTGTGAAATGCTGCTTAGTAATTTTAAGCGATACACTCCCTTGGCAACTCAGTGAATCGGGTTGTGTCTTTACAATAGTCATACACCAAATGCCTTCTCCGAACCCATTTAAGTTGATGGCTCCTATGCCTGTTTAACCCATGGAAGGCTGGCTTATCCCACCAGAACCGGCCGAGTTTGCCACATTGGGCCCAAATATCTTCTGTTTCCGACAACATTTCACAAGCATCGTTGATGAAAGAACGAAACGTTGAGACGAAGGGAGCATGGGTCCAGTTGGTCTTCACTCGACCTCCTTGCGTGGCCCAATCATCGGCATTCCACACCGACCCCCGGATGCTCATTGCTTGGTTTCTTGGAAACGGCACACCGTTTTCTTCTTTGTTAGTGAAAACCCGTATGGGAATTCTATCGACAAGAAACCTGTTTAAATGAGAAAAATACGATGTTGTAAATACAAGAAACAACTTCGATTCCCAGCTCAAGTTAAAAGTTTGGTGCCTGCTTACACGATGCAATGACGATTCCAGAAAAAAGAGTACGTATGGAAATCAAGTGTGGGATCAAACCAAAGAGCATGTCTTTGCTCTCGATTGCCGGTGCCATTGACGTAAATATTAGTTTGAACAAGGTACGGCTCACCCGATACATTGCCGAGAAACTCGAAGTCCAGTTCGTCATGATTAGGCCCTTCCGACGACATCTGCATTTTCCCATTGTTAAATTTCTCCAACATTTTGTTAATTTACTCGTAAATATTAATCTTACATAAAACGCAGTGACGGTTCCAGCTGAGTCTCCTTCAATTAGTTTGATCTGCACACTTGCTTGCCCAAACAAATATTTCTTCCTAGATTCAAATCCACAACCTAAAGCCAATCAAATCACCATTTGATGACTACAATACACAAAACGCTAATAACCCAGAGCATATATATAGAAGCTGAGAAAGCTTGGGTTTACCTGAAATATTGTCCAGAGTTAACTTTATCTGGTCTCCTTCTGAGATAATATGAAGAGGAGCCCAGTTGAACTGGAAGACTTCACTAAAGTTAGCACATGCTGCTAAGTCTAAACTCACTGAATAAAATCCCAGCAAAAATATTGCAATCTCAAGCAGCTGAGATATATTTGAAGTCATATTTTAGCAATGGATTTTCACCACAACTCCAAACCTAAAAGCTCAACTCAAAGCACCAAGACAAATGCATATATATATGGATATAGCCCACAGTTTGTGATCGGCCCCATCATGTGAGTCTGACGAAATGGAAAGAAAGTGAAAGGTAGTGGTGAGAGGGAGGTTGATGGCCACATCAGCGGCCACTTTGGAGCGGCGCCTTTAACGAAGGGGATGGGAAAATCCATTAGATTAGTAGAAATGAGAGAATAAAATGAGTTGTCATCAACTTTCTTACAGTTAGTGCTGTAAATTTAGCACTGCAATCGGCCTAAAAACAAATTAAACAATGTATATATGGGTGGTTTATAAAGTGGCTTACCCGGGAAAAACAAGTAAAGAAATATATTATAGCTAGTCTGAAACTAGATCACTTTGGCGTTATGGTATACTTAAACTCCTAACAAAGTTTTCCATAGTTGATTATCTTATATCTTCAATTAGTGACAAATAAAATATTCGAGTTAAATATATTTTGATAGAACTAATTTTATAAAATTAGATGATTGCACTGATCAAGTGATCTCAGTTATTAAGGGATTGTTATTATTTCTTGATGTCTCAGATTCGAGCATCACATATGAAAGAGTATGAGCGTTCATTGTGAGTCTTTGAATAAATATTACAAAGTGAGATATTAACACTATCATTCCTATTAATGTTTCTACCCCATAATTGGATAGCAACGGACTCTTGAATAGGGTGGAACATGTCATCAAAAGATCTTGAGCAGCCTTGAAATAACCTTTTATTCCTCTCCTCTTATATAGTGTAAGTAAAAGTAGTCCAAGCTAGCTTTATGATAGCAGTGAGCAAGGATTTACCTTTCCAAGAAGCCCAAGCCCAAGCTAGATGATTGTCCCAAGAGCATAATCCTCTCCGAAAGCCATTGAGGTTCAAAACAACATCCCATAAAGAACTAGACAAAGCGCAGTGAAGGAATAAGTGATTTCTAGTTTCCAATGAGTCATTGCGAAGCATACATTTATCATCAATATCAAACCCCATTCATAACAGCATGTCCTTAGTTGGAAGTATGTTTAAAAAAGCCATTCAAGTAATAATACTAAACTTAGGGATATGAAGTGGAAAATGTCCGCTATTTGTGAGTACTAATTACGGATGCGGAATTATGTGCAAGTATACACAATCAAACAAGTAATACAATGATGAGTGAGTATCGTTCTCCACAGGGATTGGGGGAAATCAAATAAGTTTGTCACGACACTTTACTTTGTCACTTAAGTAAAGTTAGTGATGGTATTTGCAAATTAAAATGCTGTGGCAAAATGAATTTATATTGTGGAAATTGTCTGATGGTAATATGGTAACAAATGTATATGATATGGCAAATTAAATTATGCTGAGTGCAAACAAATAAAAATGTAAAGGCAAAATAAACTGTAAATACTGGATTTGCTTATAAGGACTTTAGACTCATCACACGAAAAGCTACTATGGGAATGAATGATAGGAGTTACTTAGGAAAATCTAAGTCTACTTCTCAGAATGGTCTTACTTCTATGCCTTATCTGCCCGGCAGAGTTTACTAAGGGTGCCCTATGCTATCTCTAGTAAGGGACTCGACAGATTGAAGATGCCCTGGCAAAACCGATTGGCATGAACCCCTACAGTGATCCTATTGGTCCAGATAACAAGATATGTCTCAGCAATACCTTTTTGCAGCAACATTAACATCTAACCTATCGCTCATGCACAACTCCTTTTAGTCGAATGAAATCCTAGCCTTATCTCTAAGGTGGATTAGGCCTAGTTACTATCTATAACCCCTTGCTTATGTAGTTCCTCCATAGTTTCTCTCGAATACTAAGAATGTGCTACTTAGACATTCTCTCGAACACTAAGTAATCTCCTAAGGAACGACTACTCTCGTAGCTCCTACAACCTTAAGGCGCTAAGCTTCATAAACAAAACATAATATAACATAGAAAAATAACCATTCATTAAAGCAAACCTTAAATATCCAAAATAAACTCCCACCAAATAGGATTAGTTCATGGTGGGATTCGAAATAAGCAAGCACAAAGCAAGTTAATTCATTCCTTACAACCCAAATAATAAATAACGAAAGCAAAAAGCAAAGAGAATGAGGAAAAGCCTTCGACGTGTACTGCCGAAGCTTCTCTCGGCCACCACAAACTGTCCCAACGATCTAGCTCCTCTCGGACGCCTAGCTCGCCACTCCCTCTAGCTTGTCAGCGGAGGAATGCCACGGAAAAAATGATTGACGGAAAAGAAAGAGAACTTTTTCTCACAATTTTTAGGCTCTTGGCGGCTGTCTAAAAATCTCCTAGTCTTCTAAAAAAATCAGGCTTCATCTCCTATTTATAGGGGAGAATGAACCTACGGTTTTGTGTTAAAATTACACTAGCACCCTAAAGTTCATTCCTTTTATGCGAGAGTCGATGCAAAGATGATAACTTGCCCCTCCATTATGGCTGATTGCAGAAAGCAATTTTTATGCCATGACAGCTGGCTCTTACTAAAAATATATTATTTGACTTTTTCTGCCCATAAATGCTGTCTGAGATGTCGCGGCAATCACATTTTGCTCAGTAGTCTCATCATGTCATGGAAATTCCCTTTTTCTTATCTTTTCTTCCAAATCCTGCACATCATTAAACAAAACACATTCCTCATAACGCAACATAGATTACAAAATAAAATGCCGTGGCAAACAAAATTTCACTACATGCAACTATATACTCCTAAATGCATCTATATGATCCTATATGAGCTCTTAGACAGTCAATAACTAAAGTGAAAAAGTCCAAAATATGACCTTTTTACGGAGTTATCACACCCCCAAACTTAAGCTATTGCTTGTCCTCAAACAATGGATAGTATTAAGCAAAATAAAAATACCATGGCAGGTTCAGAAGCAGAATAGTAATATGGGATAGAATTTCAGCCCTCAGAACATTTGGCTTCAACATGCTAGACTAGTTTGAGAAATCAAGTACTGTCCCCTAGGGAAAGATTCTTTGTGTGAGTGTGTGCGTGTTTGTATCAAGTCCATGCTTAACAAACCTAAAAATTTTCTACGCAAGTTTTCTTGTTTTGCCACGACATTTACAATTTTTACTCCCACATTGTTTTCTTTTACTTTTTTCTTTTTTTTACACTGCTACGAGGGAAGTCAACCCATCACACCTACCATCTCACACTCTAGGTGAAAAGGAGCATACCTTCCACCCCGAGCTAGTCAAGTAGAGTCATCCCGTGACTACTTTCATTCACTCGTATACCATAGCTGCCATTTATTTATTTGTAGTTTCCAGGAAATGCCATGGCATAGCGGAGTGTCCCTCTACAGATATGCCGAAGCATTATTCACAACTTCATTTTTTTTCTTTTTTTTACAAAGTGAGGTTTTCATCGTTTATGCCAAGACATGCAAGAGTTCTCTTATAAAAAATTTCTAAGTTCCTTAAGCATGAAAAACATACAATCGTGTATTCAAAGGTTTCAAAGAAATAAGTCCTAGAGTTGGTTCTATCATCCTCAACAGTCATGTATATTCAATCCTAGCCATCAAGAATTCATCATCATCGGGCATCCTTAATTTATTCCAGAAAACCAATTCAACCACTTACTAATGTCATGTCATATTCATTATACTAATACTATCATGCAATGATTTAAGAACCCTACCTCCCCCAAACTTGAGAGAAGCATTGTCCTCAATGCTTACTAAAAACTAAGTAAAATTAAACTAAATGCTATGAAATGCAAGGTACATTGACTTCATGCTTGTAGTGGTGCGACGTGTGCGCTTTTGAAATTTTGTGGGGCTGAAGTGTTTAGAATCTGATGCTGGTACGGTTGAAATTTGGATAGACCCTAATCTTGCAAAGAAAAATAAAATATCCAATTAAAAGGAAACTGAATAAAAACAATAACAAAATAAGCATTTATTTATGCACATGAGTAAAACTAAAATGTCACGACATCCTTAAGATGTTGAGCCGGTATCAACTTCATGCAAGAGAAGTACAGTCTTGTCATGCAATGGTGAGACTCCTTGGTAAGCCTTCAGGCACTGTCCATTGACTTTAAAGATGGACCCATCGTCCATGTTCTTGATATCAACAGCGCCATACGGGTAAACATGGTGGACTTCGAATGGTCCCGACCAACGTGACTTTAATTTGCCCGGGAAGAGTTTGAGCCTAGTGCTAAACAACAACACTTTTTGGCCCACATGAAAATGTCGTGGCAAAAGCATTTTGTCATGCCACTTCTTGTTTTTTTCCTTGTAGAGCTTGGCATTTTCATATACTTGCGCTTGAAACTCCTCCACTTCATTCATATCGAGCAATCGTTTCTCCCCAACGAGTTGCACGTCGAAGTTTAGCTTCTTTATCGCCCAGTATGCCTTGTGTTCTAGCTCAACTGGTAGGTGGCATGCTTTTCCATATACCATCTTGAAGGGTGACATTCCCAAAGGTGTTTTAAATGACGTCCGGTATGCCCAGAGTGCTTCATCGAGTTTTGGGGACCAACCTTTCCTTTGTGGGTTCACCATCTTCTCGAGAATCTGCTTGACTTAACGGTTGGACACTTCAGCTTGCCCATTTGTTTGTGGGTGATATGTCGTGGCAATTTTATGTCGCACTCCGTATTTCTGTAATGCCTTGGCAATTAGCTTGTTATCAAAGTGGGTACCCTCGTCACTGATGATGGCTCTCGGCACTCCAAATCGAGTAAATATATTCTTGTGAATGAACTTGAGTACCGTCTTAGAGTCATTCCTCGGTGTGACAATAGCTTGAACCCACTTAGACACATAGTCCACCGCAAGCAATATATATAAGTCTCCAAAAGACGATGGGAATAGTCCCATAAAATCAATGCCCCAAACATCAAAATGCTCTATCTCCAAAATATTTTACAGCGGCATTTCGTGTCGTTTGGAAATATTCCCAGTGCGTTGGCATCTATCGCATGCTTTGCAAAAT